CAATGATTAAAGTACCCTGATTTATGTGACGGCTATCGAGCTCTTACGTAAATACCTAAGATTAAATAAATACTTGTTATATATGATAAGGCTATGCCTACCACTGTTATTCTATTTTCGATTGGCCATTTGCTATAGAGATTTCCTTTTTTTGAAGTGTCACATTCAGCTTTTAGAAATTTATATAAAAGATGAAAACGTGATGGCGCATACATATAGATCGTTAACAGTGGAAACAGTGTGTGCATGATTTTGACGTAATTAGTGCATGTGCATCCGTACCCCCGGAAATGTATTTATTGTATACGATCAATTCCCTCCGTTTTTATTGATTACATTGTCACACTATCTACACCATTCCTCATGATGTATGCGATCGATACAATGACATAAAAAATATATATATGTATAAACTCGAAAATCGCTTGCACTATTTCATCATTTGTCGAAAAAAAATGGCCTCACAAAATAACGCCAATTCTTCAATCCTTAATCAAACCACACCAAATCGCATTTTTCCCCCGATAAATTTTGGCAAATTCGAATTCTTGCTTCCAAAATTGACTGAGGAAGAATTGCAAATAATATTAAATCCACCTCTGCGCCTTGTTCTAACAGTTGAAGAGCTTTTCGGTCCTGCAAAAAGACCTTCAAAAAATCCCAATCCACCTCGTTCTTTAAATGCATACTTCCTTTGGAGAAGGAATTATGACGCATCACAACCTTCTAAGAATTGCAAACAACGTTCACATGAATCCAGTAGGATGTGGGATAGATCAGATAATAGAATAAAACGTTTTTTTAAAATTTTATCAGATCTTCATAAGATCTATCATGGACTGAAGTATCCACAGTATAAATATAATCCAAGAAGAAATACACATTCTAAAGTTAGCGAAAAATTGGTAATATTTTCCAATTTAGTACATATATTATGAATTCTCGTATGACAAATATAATTGTTTTCTATAGAACCTTACACCTCTTGACTATGATAATGAAGCCCAAGGGAACTCAATGACGAATTTTGATCAAGAAGGTTCTCATCTTGATATCAATAATGGCCTTGAAGTCTGTGAACATTATGAGAAGGTCCTTGGCTTAGAGTACTTATTGGAACTTGCTAATCACATACAAAGGTTTATATCATTGTTAATAAAATCGATTACTGTGCTTAATTTCAGGTCATTTTCGAAATAACGCACAGGCTCGTTATTTCACGATAATACAATCAATACATGCATACGTACGTTATTATACATGAGTTATTGATTCTTGAACATCAACCTTTTAAAAACTATAGTTCTTAACGAGTGCGAAGACTATCTGGAGATTTTAAAGAACAAATATTTAAAATATTTATATACTTTTTTTTAAAGAGCTGAACAAAAAATTACAATATATTAAAAATTTTGATGATCAATCAATCAACGTGTCTGTCGTTACACAAATACTACAGCTGTCGATTGTAGATTCTAAAACCAATACTAAAAAATTTTGTCTAACACTTTGGTTCCGGTAGTTATTTTAAATAAAATATTTGTTTAAGAAACCTTTACAAGTTTAGCTTTAATTATAACTTTTAAAAAAATCTCTTGCTAATTGTACATTTTTTAAGACTAAAAATAAACTAATAAATAATGTAACATAGATCGTACTTGCAAGCTTTATATGCATCATTTTTGAAAAATATCAAATCATGATATATTTTATAGAGAATTTTTAATTTTCACTGCGGTTAAAATCACCGGGGTGCCATAGCAAATCCAACGTAACCGACAATCGAGGGCGCAGACATATGGGTCTAGGAAAATGGGTCTTTGAAGGGGGGTTTCCATTTTGAGAAAATGACGATTTAATGTTTGTGAACCCTAAATTTTGACCAATATTACCGACCCATTTTTCAAATTTCCTTATTTGGATGATCTACATAAATTAACCAATCAAATTTGGGGA